TGTGTGAAATGTAGGAGGATCTATTATCAGAAATGTAATATAATATTTATAGGTATGTTTTCATTAGTGTATAATCACCGGAAAATATGTTTTTCTTTATTATTATATTTACCTATCAACATGTATGCTTTGTGTGTATTTGTAGTCTATTGCACTCACTTAGTATATACTGCTGTGTATTTACATTTTCTGGGGACACTCAATGTCCTTCCATGCTTGTTGACATGTCTAGTTGAGATCTAATTAATGATACTTATCCCTAATCAATGATAAGTAACAATCATTGAAAATTAACTCTGCTCCACTTGTTTTAGAGCACTACGAGCTTGGTGGCAGCTCATGTAATCAAGATTAGTTAATCAGTTCAAATCTATTGGCACTAAAGCTTGGAGGCGTGTGTGTGTGTGTGTGTCCCAAGTAGAGTAGGAGCTCCCTGGGTGACCATGCCTGGCTGTCTGCCCTCTCGCTGGAGATCTTCACGATTACTGTTGGAAATTACTCACAGATTGCAATGCATTCTGCACCCTAACATGCACTATTTGTGGCCCTCTCCCACATAAATACCACAATCATGTAAGAAAAGCTGTTTCTTTCTCTAAACAACTGAGAACCGTGAATCTACTAATGGAACTCTAATGCCCAAGTTTATAGGAATTTCTGCTCTCTCACCTCATTTCACTGAGGCTTTCAGCCTACTGGAGACTATAACTTAACCTTCAATGTTGCAACTGCCAAGTGCTTTATCAAAACCTTAAGAAGATGAGACAGGGTAATATGGTCCAAAAACTGTGAAGAGATATATTTGCCACTTACATATCCCACACACATAATGAACTAGTGAAAGTGTGTCCAATTTGTTAAGAATTCATCTCATCAAATGAGAGAAGATTTTGCACCTTTGCAGAGAACCTTCAGCTCCTGAATGAATATGTATCCGTATTCTCCAATGCATGATCTCCTCCTGTTTACATTTTAACAATACAGTCACAATTTATAAGAGAATAATACATACTATCAAAAATGATACATCCTTCTGAAAACCACTAACTGCTGATCTCACATTTGTGCAGCTTCCCACCTCATCCAGACTGAACAGTTGATCCTCCTTAATGGAGGATCAACTGGATAACAACATTGTAGAAATGACTGGGGATTAAGGGGCTATTCTTTGGTTTGCTTTATCATGTGTTGAATTGCCAAATCCTTTCAGTTCACTCACACTCCATATATCAAGGGATAGAGATAGAAAAAACACAAAACAAGCTACCATTGTGCACAGTAAGTATAGTTCATGTGGGGAGAAACACAACTGGCATGTGTGTATGCTTGTGGATGTTTGTGTGTGTTTGTGTGCACACCAATTAATACATTCGCACACTTTCTATCTCCAGCTATAGACTCAAAATTCAATTTAAATGAAAACGAACCATAATCCGAATTGTAACCATAGTTTTTTTCCACAGTTTTTACTTTGCTGTGTGACTTTCACTTTGTATGGCAAGGCTCAGCAGACATTTGCTTGGGACAAATGCGTCCTCAAGGGGGCTGAACAAAAGATGATCGACAATTCTTCCTTCACTCAGACGTCGATTAACTGATCCTGCCTCTAATTGGACGAGCGGACCTCTTGCTGGGCTGTCGTTGGTCTTTGCTCCTGATTTTTAAACAACTTGGCAGCTGTTCTGGGAACATTGCCAAAATCCCCGTAAACTATCAACTAAAGATGAATTAATTTGCAACAAAAAGCAGACAATGTTCTGGCCGTCAGCATCACTTTCTTTTTTGAGACCAAGATTTTTTAATACATATTTTAAATCATAAAAAGGGGATACAAACAGTTGCTTAACCGACTGCTTAAAGGGATTAAGAGGCGACCGTGAACTACTTGCTCATCTCCCAGGATGGAAACTGTCAATGTTTTTCTTTCATTTCTGTGGAAATTTGATCCTCATACAGTATGAGAGTACACACACACACACACACACTGTTTAGCACAACTCTCAGGAGAATGGGCAGGGATGGGAGGGACATTGGACAGCGCACTGTTTTACACCATTTATGTCATCAATGCTGCTCATCAGTAATGGCTTTACTGTGTGTGCGTGTGTGAGGGAGTTGTCCTAAGGAAGTGCACACCCTGACACCAAACCTCTCACTGGGGTGGGAGGACACTGTTTTAACCTGTTAACCCATAACCTAGGCCTTTTTGGTAACTGGGACCTAGTCACATCTGCTGAAGATACACACCCAGAGCCGGAGCAGCAATAGGTTAATTACCACCAAAGTGCAATAACAAGCATATCCCATCTCACTTTATGAATAGAAGGGACTGCAACTTTCTGGGCCCAACAATACAGCTGTTATCTCAACTAAATGTGACCTCTGTGTGTACTTGGCTCTGGCCCTTTCACAACTTCTGCAAAAAAAAAAAAATTGGTGTGGATTTGGATGGACTCTTATGCACATGTGAGAAGTTTACTTCATTGAGACTGCCTGCTTGCGGCCAAGGCATCACCTAGCAGGATCTGCTGCTTGAACCCAAATACAGCTGTTTTTTACTTTCACCGGCAGAGCCTGAGGGAATCCCAGAGGAACAAACACCAGGTTCAGAAAGAGGATCGTCACCTTCTGTGGCTGGAAATGCATGCTCACATATCCCAAATTTAACAAGTATGGGATTAGTCCAATGCCATGACACACATTTGTGTGATCCAATCCGTTTGAGTCACTCCTATTTAGTAGAAAAGAAGTCATACAAGACTCTTTCTATCTCCACTCTGTAATATTCTGTTTTTCTATATTCTTCTATATTCTACATTGTCTCCTATATCTATCATATCCTATCATATTTTCGGTATCACAGCTAGACATCCTTTATAAGGGGTTATAAAGTGTAAATAATGGCTTTATTAATGTTTGACCAGTCATTTACTAATGCTTTATAGATCAGTAGCCATTAGAGCCCAGAGAGAACTTATGGGTTGCCTGTTCCTCCTCCAGCATGACACTTTTCTTTGTTTTTTCATCAGCCTTTTAGAAAAGGGCCCATAATCCATTTGTAAACAGCTTTTAACCATACAACTACAGACTTAGTGGATTACTGTAAGTACTGTAATTGCCTATATCATATAATGCGACTTTCCCTCTTCTGTTGCTATTGTATGCACTATCAAATAGAATACGCAATGTTACAAAATACACCGAAGCGACAAACATAGGGGTTAGATAAAGTCTGAAGATGTGGAGTGGCCGGTCTCAACTCGGTTCTGGCTGGCAGCAGTACAGATGCTGAGTGCCCCTCCCCTCCAGAAACAGCAGGGAGTTTGCTGTCTGTCTTTTTGCCGGGGCGAACTGCCACAGAGTAACCAGCCATCCAACACACACACTCACACACACACAGAGTGCACCAAGAGTTCAGTGTGCGTTTACCTACAATTAAGGGGAGTGGAAATATTTGGGGGGAAGTATTCAGTTTATCCATCCACTGTTCATTCGGTCGGAACGAGGTCCGCGTACTTTCTCTGCGCATCTGCAGGTTGGGTTGGGCATGTGTTGCATGTGAGAGGAGACGGAGTGCGCAGGTAAGGTGAAACAATACCGACAATAACGACAATGTAAATCATACGCTGTTTATTCAAAACTTAGCCTTTAACTTTGCGTTTAAAGAACGTTTTTAAATGAATGTAGCCAACTGCATTTTAGTTAGTGACATTTGCTCAGCTATTGCCTTTGCCATATGTTGCATTACAGTAAACAACCGAGGTTAGTTGATGTTATCAGTACAGGGTTTTCTTACATAATGTTTTTGACATAGACCTACACATCCTCTTTTACTGTTGTATATCTATGAGATTTTGATATTTGACATTAATCCAACTTTACGTAACTTCTGCAAAACAGTTTCTAAACTGAACCCGTCAAAATCCGGATTTTAATTGCATACATCTCCAAAATGTCACTGTTGAACAAATACTAAACAGGTTTGTTTAAAACATGGTGCCAACTAACTTTTCACAAAATAGCCTATTATGGATTTTGAAAGGATTTTGCTATTCTATAAATAATTGTATCAACCTATAAGGAACATGCAAACTGGAATTGTAAAATCACCAATCTTTGTAATTCATGCTATTCATCAGACAGCCATAATGTGTTTTTTTAACTGTGTAAACAGTAATGGGGTGATAGTGTTTCAATGAATAAAAGCACATTAATGTGATACTAATCTATTCAAACTTTCCGGTCAGTGCAGCTGAATTTGCAATCTCAGATCAATTCATCACGATGCATTAATGTTTTATTTTACACCAATGATAGATATATAGGACTAGAGAGGTACAGATTTAAATAGATAATAGTAGAAGTTAGTTGAGTGGCAGAATGTTTGGGTACCAAATATGTTTTAGAGTGTTTGGACAGCATTTTTTTTTTTTTTTTGGGGGGGGGGTATAGATACTCTCAAATTGAATGTGACTAGGTGCACTTAAACAGCCAAGTCCTTTTCCCTAGTCCCAAATGTTCACATTCCAGATCTACAGTACATTAAACATATTTCTGTCAAGATGCTTTACTTATGGAGCTCACTGAGATATGTTGCTTTACTGTGCAGCATAAAGGAAAAAGAAACAGTCACATAGGTTTAGTAGTGTAGTTATTTAGCCATCCTTCCCCTGCCTGTATATCTAACAGTCTCAAGGACCCACTCTCCACTTAGTGCGCTTCTAACGGTTTATCTAACTCCCTACAAGGAGCTTTGGGTTGAAGTCTGAGAGAGGCAAAGAAACAGTTGAAGGGAGGCAGAGAGATGAGAGTTGTGTGGGGATTGATTTCTTTGGCAATGTTTCAGGGCTTTCGATCAGCGTGAATGAGGTAAATAAATGATTTGTGCTTCGGGCCTCAGAAAATCTTCTGTTGTCTGATTTTCTTTAAACACTGGCCAATTGTTACGTCACTGAGGTGGTGTCTGCCAGGCATACTTAATGCAGACTGCTGTATGCAAAGGCAGTCACAGGTTCACTTGACTGGAGATGGGTCAGTCTGAGGACTGCTGCTGAAATCACAGCCTGGAGATGTAAACATGTGAACTTTAAGGACTTGAAGGGACTTTTGTAAAGTGACAACACGTTGTGCAGATGAAACTGTATCCTAATCTAATCTCTGTAAGTGCTCTGGTATGATTGGAAAAGTGGATTTAATAATAAATTATAATGTGAAACTGGTTGAAGGGTTTGGTGGGGTATGTGGGTTCCTATATCTATACTTCAAATCCATGTCCATGTGCTGTGCTAACCCTGAGCCTCCCAGGTGCTTTGATTCACTCCTGTTCTTTATGGCGTGTCTGGACGGATCCAACATTACCCTAAAAATCCCAGCATCAATATTCGGCTGTGTTTTGAATGGCCTACAGCACCATTCCTGCACTCTGTGACTACGCCACGCAGTTCATGCCGAGGCGTTTTTACTGGACGGTGATGAAAACTAAAAACTGAAAGAGTGCTTTCTCAAAACTCAACAGGTCTTATTAAAACATACTTGTAGCCATGCTGCAGGCTAGCCTAGCCTTATATGGTTATGTTTCCAGAAATCCTTCAGTACAGACAGACATAACAGCTAGGACACCTTTACTGCAGTGATGTTAGTATGTTTAGAGAGTCTACAACGGGTAGGTGCCAATGACTTGCAGACAGACAGCCCGGCTGGGTTTGCCTGCCCTGCAGCTCTGTGGCCTCGGTGGTTCCTCTGTCTATATTGAACTGTACTGGAGCCGATGTGGAGGTAACTGCATAACAAAGGCCTTCTTGTCATAGCAAAAGAACAATAGAGTAGCTTCCCACGTTTGTAGAAGACTTAAAAGCTCTTGAGAAAAGTTGTTGCATAGCATACATGGGTGTACCCCTGTGTCCTCAGGCCATCAGGAGACAAGTGAGAGCACTTCCAACTGTCACTGTTTTCATGCCCTATTGCTCCCATCTGCCTACCTCAGGATGGTATTAGCTTACACACACACACATATGTTCATATGTGCGGTGTCTCATACACATTCAGAGCACGTCCGGGTCATGCCCAGTTCAGTGTGTGTAGAGTTACTTGTTTTGTTGTCCTTTATCAACAAAACTATCGCCATGTTTATCTATATGGCGTTGTCTCAGTTACATGGTTGCCCCTCCGTTTTGAATAGCCCCTCGACTTTATTTCCACTTGCTGTTGTTTCTGTTTCCATCTTCTCTTTTGAAAACAGTTACACCGTAGATCCAGTATCACTTCTTGCCCCCACGCTTGATGTGACAGCAGACCTGAGCTGCAGTTTTCTCAGTTGTATATAGTTGAGTAGCTTTTCACTGACAAAGAATGGAGGATTAAACGACAACATTAAACATAAAGTGAGTCTTTAACAAAGACAGCACAAGCACTATTATCTGTCTTTGGTGTATTTGGTTACCATAATAGCAGTTGCCCGGAGTATTCCCTTACCAGTGTTTTAAGATAACAGCTTAGGGAGGGACAAAATGCGGAGAGACAGGACCTCAGGGTTGGAATTTTATCCATCTCCCTTGGTTTTCCCCACAGACATACTCTTCACTTCTTAAATGGAAGGAATTCCACAGGAATGTCCTCTCGTCTGGGCATTGCCATTCATTGATTTCATGCATACAGCTTTCAGGCAAAGTGTGATTGTCATGAGATGTCTGTCATGTTTAATGTGGTGTTGTGAATGTGTTTATGTGATGAAAAACAGAAAAATCCTTACTCGGAACTCTGTTACTAGGGCAGTGGAGTTAACTGTCAAGACTCCACTGTTGTTTAGTTGTGTGAGAGGGGCTTTCTCTAATCAGACAGCCTGTGGATTTCTGATTTATAGGATTTATTAGAAGGTAAACGGCTGCAGGAAATACAGACTTTCCTAATGGCAAAGGATCAAATGATCCCTTTTTTAGTCCACAGAGAGGTATTAGATATCCTTACCTAACATGTTTTGTAGTATGCATTCATTCGTTATTTAGGGCTAATTTACTGCAGCATTTTCAACTTCAAAGCCAATCTATGTCTGCATCACCATGTTTGCATGATTACATTTTGTGTAAGGGGATATTTTGGCAATTTATTTTGCATTTAGTTTTTGGAGTGATATGTAATTTCCCGAGAGATACGCATGCTGTGCCGATAGATACAGTGTTTCACTCAGATAAGGTGGAGTAATGTTTGTGTTTTAAAACCAAAATGAATCACAGCTTGCTGCCTTGATGTTTACTTTATGATCTGAGCAAACAAATTACAGAAAAAATGCAAGTGATACTCTAAAAGTTGCCAAAAAGCTTGAGTGTAATGTATGTAGTTTGAGGTTTTTGATCTCAGTCCAGAATAGGCTTACATTGGCACAAGGATCACATGTTCTCTACAACAGTTAATTCTCAGCATACAGTTAAACACACTGAGATGTGGACTACGCGTGTGAAGTGTAAACATTGTATTGACAGTTAAGACAGAAGTTAGAACATGTAGATGCTGGACCATTCAGATCAGTGTTACTAGTTTTTATTAGTAGCCTGTGGACAAAGAGCTGACAGTACTATTTCACTTTGTTGCTAGGAGTATTTTAGCTTGTTATGGAAAGTGAAATAAATTCTCTAAAATATATGCTATATTACAGTGCCAAGACATAAAGAGAAAGAGTGGTGCTCGTCTGTTGGAACAGTGTTGTGTTTCCTTCTTTACTGCAGTCTAAAACTGGAGCTACAGCTTTAAAATTTAATGCTCCTTGTATATGCTTTATAGTTTGTGTTCAGTTAAAACACAAACAGTGTGGCCTGGTGGCGGTCCTGTATTTTTCCCTATGAGACATGAACTCACGCAGACTCACAGGGGAATTACATGCTTGCTTAAATGTAAGGTTGAAAAAAGATGATTGACTGTTGCCAAGAAAAACAACTAATGTCTTGAGAGCTAGAAACAATTACCTATGTTGTTCTGCCAGGTCAATGCTTGTGGTCAGGGAATAAAGACAAATAGCCGTGCTAATGCACTCTGTCCTGTGGAGATGGAGGGGTTTGATAATAATGTACTCTACGGGGCACCTGGGTGTTGCTAAATGCCTCATTAGGGGAGGTCTCTGTGTGAGAATGCCCATGGCCAGAGCACTTATTCACCATCTGCTCCTTCCTCATCTCTGCTGACAACTTCTACAGGGTATATTGTGTCTTTGTGTTCAGCTGCTTTGAATTTCTTAGCATCTTTATTTCTAAATTTTGAATCGTTGCTAATTAATGGCTGCTGGTGAATGGTTAGGCTGGTGAATGTGCTGTATTTGTTTGATGTTGAGCCCGAATGCCAGTATATTTGAGGAGTTGACATCTATACGATGGTATATGTTGGGCTGAGATCAGAAGCCAGCAGCACCATATTGGCTGCTAGCTTTAAATCTGTCACCATCGCCATCAGGATTGTTTCCCATCACCCCCTGCACCGTGTGCCGGCCATGCTGCCAAAGACAACAGGGACTCTAGCCGCCAGGAAACAGGGGTGTTAGTTTAACCCACATGGCACGAGCTGTCGGTTTCTTTCTCACCTCTCACTTTTTGTCTTTGTGTCTCTTTTCATCTCTATTATTCACTCTTTCAAAATTATTGACTGACTGGCAACGCATATTATGTCTTTCATTCCTATACAGCGTGACAGTCTCGTGTTGTCATCCTCCTCTCAACAGATGGAGAGTTTTTAATGTCCCTCTTCTAACACTTGAGCTCACTCCTTTGTTTGTGCTGTATTCTTCTAGAGGGGTGCTGCACAGGCCCGTACTGCTGATAGATGTGGGCACTCAAGCGGTGAAGAGAGATACATTACGCAAACACTACTCACATGGGTGAAATTGTGTCACTGCTCCCCTGAAGATACCGTGGGGAGGATAAGCCCCACCACCAGCACTATCACTTTCATTCACAAAGAGTGCAAAGACTTTAAACCTGCTGGCTTTCTAACTCTCTTTGCTGATTGCCCATCCATCACACACAGCTCCATATCTGTATTTCTAACCCTGAAGGTGTGAAGGTGCTTCAATTTGTCATCTTAGATAAACAGCAGTCTGTTTATCAGGGTCTAATCCTCGTCACTTTAAAGCTACGGGGTGCTTGGATGGGTGCCACTCTGCCCCGATTCTCAGTAATTAATTCTGAATTCAAGTTTCCAGATGACAAAACTGGACAGTGAAAATGAAAGGAGTGAAATGAGTTATACCTTTACAGCTTCCATTTGGCAGTTTACATTTTGTCATGCAATCAACATCTGTGTGCGCAGGCGTGAATGAATGTATGTGCTCAGATTGTGTAATTCTATAATTTTCTACATGCTGTAGACAGTATTTGTCCCAAACGGTGAATGTGTCCTCTCTTGTCTATATGTCCAGTGGCTCATGTTTGGTTTCATTATTTAAGATATGTGAATGTGTGTATGCCACATTGGATCTATTAATCTAGGTTGACAGTGTTTATGTTGTCACAAGACAGGTTGATGTGTGTTATCTGACATGGGGGTGGAATGATAGTAATGAGGGAGATGTAGCAATAAGGTCGAAGGGGGTATACATTCTTTCGATGCGTTCACTAATTTCTTCATCGGTTGTCTGGTTAATTAGTAGCTAAATGGCAATGTAATGTGCAGGAATTCAGGTTTAAAAACAATGTTAAGCTTGTAGCTTTTTGTGGTTTTGAGAGTTTTTCAGACACTACTTGTTAACTTATCATTAACACTTAGGTCCAGATTTCATTCTTAGTTGTCTCCTAATAAAAATGTGTCATCAAAAAAAAAAAAATCCTCTTTGCAGACTCATATTATTAGTTGCATGGCCTGTGTCCTGTGCTGATTTTAGTTTCAGCATCAATGAAAAGACAAAAACATCTGCTGCAGCATTAAACCACAAATGTATTAAAATGGACAACTACTGAAGTTCCCTACTGAAAATGTCCAGTTTCTTCCACAATGATTTCACCTTGTCACGTGTTCAATTAGTGCACATCGCTCAAGTTCTCCTTGCCTATTAGTAAGAGAAAAGCCGGTGAGTGTTCCCATGACTGCTCACTTATACATTGACAACACTTTGCATTGAGTGTGAACTAATGGCCCATTTTTTGTACACCACATAAAGGAGGAGTTGACAAGGTCATCAGCCAATGCTAAAACTATTGGCAAGTATCATTTAGCTAAAGAATTAAATTAGTTATCCAAGTCAAAAGAAGATGGAGGAGAGAGAAAAACTGAAAAAGGCATGGCATAGTGAAAGATAGTAGAATCTGACTGTTTTGTTAGCCTGACCTTTGTTGTGGGCAAACAGATTTAAAGGCGACACAAAAGGAAAGCCAGCGACAGGCAACAGCTGATGTAGGATGGGTAAAGAGAGGGGACATGCCTTTAGGGCTCCATGGTGAAACAGCTGAATAGCCATAAGAGAAACCTGTGTACATATCCTGCGTGAAGTTAGATGAGACTACACACACACACTCACGCACACACACACACACACACACACACACACACACACACCACACACACACACACACACACACTTATGATTGCTCCTCCCTAGCTTGACTCTCTTCTCCGGTCTCCCTCCAGGGTTTGCAGAAAAGGACAGAGTGAAAACAGAACAACACCACTCCACACACCATGAAGACAGAGGACTCTGTTAATCAGAGTCTCAATGCTGTTGGGGCTCTGCAGTGCATGTCTGGCAGTAATTATGATGGCAAAGGGAAGAGGATTAAGGTGCTATCCCATCCAGGGGTCCTATTAGTGGGACTGATGTTCTTGGCCACACTCCCTTTTGGAGCAAGCATCAAACAAAGTGTCCCCAGAGTCAAACTCAGTCATAGAGGTAAGAACTGAAATATTGTTGATTATTTTTATTGTTGTTACATATTTACATTTATTTTGATAATTTCATAATATTACAGTATGTATCCAAGGCAGTCTGAGAGCAAAAACAAAAGTTTGGGTAATTTGGGATATTTAATCTCATGCCAACAACCTTAATTATTTGTGCACTTGCACACAGCTGGAGTTCTTGTTAAAGCTACATGCCATATATGAATCTGTTGAGTCACACGTATGATTCCCTTGATTTTTTGTCTTCTTTAGCCATTTTTTTTCTATTAGTGTCTAACTGTGCCTTGTCTGTCTCTCTCTATAACATTTTGTCTCCACTTGTCTCTATTTCTTATGTGGTTTTGTGCACACATCTATGAGGAAAAGTGAAAAGAAAGATTAATAGCCTCAGTGGCACTGTTAAAGTAAATGGTCTTTGAAACACGACTGTAAAGTAGAGTGAGAAATTTAACACTTACTGATCCATTAGCCCACTTCATAATTCCCTGTTTGTCACATGTCAGTTTTTATAAAATACAATGTTGTTGCAGTCCAGTCCTATATGTCTAATTCACACGCAGAACATACAAGTCATGTTAACACTCTTGGTCGATAGGAGACTGTCGATCAATCTGTTTTGTGTATATTAGCAGGTCCTGGCAATGTGCACTCTGTCTATGTGTTTAGTTTTGCGTCAACTGGATGTGTTTGCTTTGTGCCACTAGGGGAAAGCTAAATTATTGCTCCCCTTAAAACCCATTCTAAACTTACTTCAAAGTCTCCATCGCTCAAGCTGTGTATCAGCTACAAGAAACCACACAAATGAACTTCAGTCTGCTCCATAAAATTGAATCCCCACTGTGACCTAAAAGTAAACTTACTCTGACTTCAACCTCCAAAAGCTTTATTCTGGTCAAAGGCTTTCAAAGCCCAGGGTAGCTGGAAATAGATACACATGTGTGTCCTGAGTGTCCAACATAAATATATGTAAGTAGCTGCAGGAATAATGATTGCTAGGGACGGTGTTTACTCAGCTTCTAGGCTAGTATTTAGCTCTACAGTTCGTCTCATTTTATATTTGTTCCCAAGCAACAGTTGATAAAATAAAGTAGTTCATCATTTCATAGATGATTGCATTTTAATGGGGCCATATATCTGAGACACGTTTTTTGATACGGTCAGGGTGTGTCTGTTGGCTTTGACTGTGAGCACGGCTGACTAAACTTAATTTTCATTCAAGAGAACTGCCATCTAACTATGCAGCAGTCTGCTTTGGACCTCAGATGAACAACAGTAGAACAATGTCCATGTTTGGCTCTCTCAGTCCGAATGACTGAAGCAAAGTAACAAAATCAAAAGCAAAATCACCTCCAACCCAGTGCACACATCATGCACCCATATTGTCATCATCTCATCAGTGCACACTCTTCAAAAGCAACACCACCAAGCACTGATCACTCTTCAAACATCACATCGCATCACCCTCCTGTGAAAGCTCAACTTCAATGAGTGAAGGGTGAAATGATCAAAGTGAAATCATCCCTGATTGAATGAACACCTCCAAAACAACTGCCTTCTACTCCGAACTTCCAGACTTTCCTCTGAAAAACAAATCTTGACTCAAGTTCAAGTTCCATCCAGAGTCACAACACAGACAACATGGCCTTGCCAAATGAAAAGTAGAATCATCTGGTCATGATTTAAATATTTTTGATATGTTGCACATTCAGAGTATTGTTATTCCTATGCTCTTAATGTGCCACCAAAAGTATTGTTACACCACATGCATTCTATCTGTGGCGTTGTAGCCTGTATTACTCAAAAGCTACAGTTTATTAGTCGTGCACAGCAGAATTTATAGGACATTTTTCTTTCTTTCTTTCTCTTTGTAAACAGGCTAAATACCTAACCATCTTTTAGTGAACAAATTTGCTTAGTAACAGGAAATCCAAACACATTTCAGTGAATTAAATCTAGCTTTGCTTGAGCTAATTTTTATTAATTCCATTCAACATCACTGTTTGACTTAACATTTCATACCGGCTGTGATGTTACTCTGTGTATTCTGAAACCATGGACAGAACATCCTACACTGCATATTAATGGCAGACTGAGGCTGTGCTCATGCAACATGAAGCACAGCTAGCTTAGATCCAGAGTACAATGATCAGTAGTTTACTTACTTCTAATTAATATTGTTCTAATTAATGCTTAAATTATGTGACTCTTGTCTTCGAACATATGGCAGATTCATACAGCCTACAACCCTAACCCTATCTAATCTAAGCAATCTAAGCAATCAAAGCATTACCTTACTCGCCTGTGTTAGGTGGTCTTTACTTGTACAATATCAGACATTATAGTATTATAGAGCTTAAATCCAGTCTATCAGCACAGCATAAACTTGTCTGCAGCATGCCAGCATGGTGATGTCTTAGTTAAATAAATGTGCAGATGAGAGTGCCTCAGAACTCCAACAGATGAGCTAATCAAGAGCTGTTAAGGGGTCCGAGGGCTCTCTTCTTTGGAGAAAGGTGTGGAACATTATGCTAAGCGGCAACAGCTAAGCAGGCGGTTTCAGCGGGCTCATAGTGCAGTGTGTTTACAGAACAGATTAGCGTTAGCCAAGGGCTAGCAGGCCTAATCTCTTTGTAAGGTTTAGTCTGCTTGGGGCACGATGTGTGTGTAGGGTTGAGAGATATGAGCATGTGGGGGTGCTGTGTGTGTGAGCTTGTGTATAGCAGGAGGTATTAGGCATGATTGCGTGGTGTGGAGCGGTCCTAGAAGTTCAAATATTGAGGGTTGGTAACCTCTCCGATCCTTCACACCAAGAGGGTAATCACAATGTCAATCCTTTCAGAGTGACTCCCACTGGACTCCCCCGCATTGAGCCAGTGTTTATTCAAGACATGTTGCTATACTGCAGCACTGAAAAGAGCCTGGTGATAGAAGAGATTTCCTCAAATCAAGGAGATCAAGGACACAATACTGAGCTGAGAATGTAGTCAGTATTCAGCTCCCAGACCTTGGAAGCTGGGTGTCTGAATACCAACAGATACTAATGGAAACAGCCTGTATACAGTATATTTTAACACTTCATATACATTTATTTTAGTAATCCACCTGCTCCTGATACAATATCATATTGCCCATGACAGTTCATGTTTATGAAGATGTTCATTCATCCGCAATTGAGTTCTAGTCAGGAAAGAACTGGTAGAGAGACTTTTACAATAAATAACCCCCCCCCCCACCTAGCAAAGGTGTTAAACCACAGAGCATTAGGCAGTTTCCAGTCAAGTCAAGACATGTTTTTCTGTAGAACAGGAAAGCCAGTGCTTGTTTTTTGGATTTAGGTATGAGTGAACTGCAGAGAATAAGTTAAGCTTGACAGTGCAATCCTGCTGTAATTCAATGCTAGATGGTGCAGTTTAAATGTAAACTATATGCATACATTATATGGGACTGTGGGGATTTATTAATGCTTTTTTTGTCTCTCTGTTTGTCGGTCACTCTCTCTGGGCCAGAACTGCTGCAAGCTGGCAGCATATCTCTTTTTTTGGGCCCATCTGATGGCCTCCACTCCCACTCGCTGCTGTTGGATGAGGAGAGAGGACGTCTTCTGTTGGGAGCCAGGGATTACATCTACCTGCTTGACCCTGACAATTTAGCCAGAGCCCCTAGAAAGGTACATTATGCTGTGAAGAGCGCAGAAAAGGAATGTGTAAATTATATATAGAAGGATATAGAACAGAAAAACATGGCCAAGAATGAATTTAGAGCAATAAATAAACAGCAGCTTTTGGTTTTGTAGCTATTCAGGCCATTTACTATACTTGAGAGGTTGTTTAGGTAGACTTTGAAGTGTTTACAGCAGTTTAAAGAGTCCCCACACCCTCTGACGAAAGGATAATACTGGAAGAAATTCAAGTTTGAACAGGAGATTGAGTAGCTCCTCCGCACAGTCCCCAGACATGCAAACTCATGCTTGAAGTCACTTGAGACATCCTAATAACCTCTGTTATTTGCTGCGAACAGCTCATTATTATATAGAGAGTCATTTAGTTTCAGCTCATAACACTTATACCTATCTTGCCATTAAGTGGGGTGATGTAAGGTATTTTTTTTCCATTACTGTGTTGGTATCTGAAATGCATTCAACCGCATATTGTTTTAGGGAAGAGTTCACCTTTCAGTCAACAGCAGTCTGAAACTGTCTGCCTGGAGAGGTCAGGGTCATCATTGGAGGGGACACGCACTCACACACACAATTATATACACATTTACGGAGTATGCACCCTCTCGCTTACACATATACACAAACACACAGATGCATTTGGACGGATGCCATATGTTAAAGTTTGTAGATGTGAGTGTGTGTTTATGCAGCTGAGGTTGATATGCTAGTGGGACGACAGTGTGTTTATTTGATTTTTATCTGGTTGTTTTAACTCTTAGTCTTCTCAAAGTGTTGCCTTTCTGTTGCCTCTCTGGTCATTGATACTGATGGCAGGGAGATAATGGACAAAGTAAATCTGCCTTTTGGGATCAGCCCCTTAACAGTGAATATGATCTAGAGAAGCAAACTTGGTGTTTATCAATTAATGAAGACGCATACCTGGAAACGGACCTTTGGGCACTAAAACACAACCAGATATTCAGTTGTTTCTACCTTGATTTTTTAGGAGATAACTGCTATCTTGTAAACTTTTTACCGCAGTCTTTAAATATATATACCATATGCTGTGGTAAAACTAGGCCACTGATCATATTCTTTGTTTCAAAACCACAGGCCACACACTACTCAGTCAACACATCACATTGTAACACTGGTTTTCTGGATGAATTCCTCAGCAGCATGCAATGATTTGGAATCATGAGATGTAAATATTTGTGCCAGTGTATTTGCATGCGTATTCAGGCTCTGTTGACCCATGGATAAGTTTGGCGATAGCTCTCCTTGGTAGGATTTAGGGGAGGTAACACGCTAAGCACATAAGCCTTTTATAACACATGTATGGACATGGTGGGGTACATTGAAGGGACACTGGACGTTATACCTCCATTCCTCTTTCGTACCAGCACCTGAAGGTGTTAATTATTGTATAACCGAGATCAGTTGTTTAATAATCCCCAATATGTTAAAGAGTGATTAAGCGTCATTAATAATTTAATAAACAAAATACAGACCAAAGGGAAGTAAAATACAAACTGGAAAATAACTGAATATAAATCATCATCATGTCTTTAAAATAGATTTGATACAATGAAGAACTGGCTTGCCTGAATTCCTTAGGCAGTTTGTTCCAGAGTTGAGGGGCCCTAGTGGCCCTAAAGAGCCACTAAGAAAAGACCTTCTCAAGGGTCTTGGGCTGCACTCAGGCTCATATCAAGTTAGGGGATCAGGAGCTTACCTGGTAGTACCTGTTAAAGTGATCCATAAAATGTAACTTTCTACTCTAAAAAGTAGCCAGTGTATAGATGCTAACACAGCTAAGTATTATGCACTGTCCTTTAAGATATTGTGAGAAGTCTTGCTGCTGCATTCTGAGCCCACTGCAGCTTGAACACATTACATTGTTATTTTAATAGTTTAAACAGGTACAGCCCCATTGTAATAGTCTGGCAGTGATTTAAAGTGTAAGTGTTACTGTACATCTTCTTTGCAGATAACGCTATAATATTAAACTGGAATTATAATAGCATATACATGAAAAGTAACTATAAAAGGAATTTTTTATAGTTTGAAGTGACAGTGACTCAAATGTTACATTATGAAATGTGAAATGTTTCTCCTTTTATTTATCTCTCATTAGATTCACTGGCCTGCTCCATGGCACCAAGTTGAAATGTGTCAACTGGCAGGAAAACATATAAATGTAAGAAAATCTTTCAGAACAAAAAAATCATATTGATTCTAAGTCAATAGGTACAACATTGTATGTTGAAATATAATGTTAAAATGTGTTCATTCAGACTAACAGATTACCTCTGCTCTTTTTCTGTCCCTGCTTTCCTAGTTGGAGTGTGGTAACTTTGTCAGGGTCCTCCACAACTACAATCGAACCCATGTCTATGCCTGTGGGACAGGAGCCTTCCACCCCAACTGTGCTTTCATTGAAATAACTGGCCGCAGAGAGGTAAAGTAGATATAAGTGAGTGAATCACAACAGGAATAAGGAGTTGGATTTAAATTTGTGTAATATTATCATCCTTTTTGTCTCTCAGGATGGTGTGTTTCAACTGCTGTTTAGTACAGTGGAGTCTGGCAGATTGAAATGTCCTTTTGACCCCTTGCAGCCATTTACCTCAGTCCTCACAGGTAAGATGAACCCTCACACAATGCTCTGGCAGCCCTCTGCCTGCCTTATCTCTGTGCACCAGAATTTTATTGCTGCACAGCAGCATTTACCCATGAGTAAATTATGTTTCTTCTCATGTCTCCACTCAGTTGTTTGAGTTGTTTGTATTCATGTCCCTTTTTTCCCCAGCACTTTTATGCAGATTATTTTGGTCAATAAAGAGGCCGACTGATATTTCTCAGGCAGCAACAAAGTTACTTGGCAGAGTAATTTAAACAACCATGTTTACATTTGAGCCTTATCTGTCTTGTTTGTTACTTGAAATCTGTCTCAGTTTGTGTTTCTGTAAATGGGTTCACTGAGGTAAGCCAATGAAGTGGTAAAAGCTAAATTGTTTGTTTTCTGATATGTTTGTAATATGGTGTATGACCTATTGAATAGGATCATAAAAACTATTTGAGTTTTCATGTACAATAATGTACTGTATGTGCTGAATTCTTTTCTGAATATCTTGATGTCATGATCAATTGATCAGTCTCTGTAATTGGTTCCAGATCAGTACCTGTATGCTGGCACATCTTCAGACTTCCTGGGCAAAGATACAACATTCACACGCTCCCTTGGCCCTCCACCTGACCAGCATTACATACGCACAGACATCTCCGAAGACTACTGGATCAATGGTACACACATGCTTGCACATATCCACATTAACACGCTGAGTGCACTCAAAACTTGTTATTGCTTTTTCTTCAAACTTCCAGCCTCTCCACTGATACAAAGAGCCTCTCTGTGCCCTCAGGATGGTTATTGGCATTCCAGTGCAGAGGAAACAGCCCACTTATTCATTTAGCTGGAACTTTTATATGAATGCCATAGCTGAACAGGGACCACACCTACAGGGGAATTTACAGTGTGCCACAGAGTTTACGGTCTTAGTCACACAACCGCATAGCCACAGTCACATACACTTACACACATATCGGCATGCACAGTCATCACTGAGAAGGGAGTCCTCTCCCTGTTTGTACATCCCCAGTCTCAAGTGGTTTACAGCCACTGATGGGTTGTCGTGTATCAACAGTTGTCACTAGCATCTAAATCCTTACACATGGTCTCCACATTTCACAACCACGCAGTCAGAGATGTTTGGAGTAATTATGTCTCTCTCTCACAGTGTGTGTATACTGCGAATGTTTAGGTGCAGGGCAGGCAGACAGAAAGAGCACATCATTTCTTGCAGTGTTTCTGTTTCTTTGAGCCTGTGGAACATCTTTGCAGTGACGCAGTACTAACAATGAACTTCTGTCAAGTGTGTTAGCAGTTGTACATTAAGCTGTTCCAGTAGGGGAATCACCCTCTGGTGGTTGGCTCAGTTTCTAGGATTTGAGCTAATGTTGATGTAATGTTACTGCAAGCCTTTGGACCAGTTCCCCCCTAAATCAGGACACTGACGACAACATGCTGTTGATATTATTCACGATATTTCCTACATCACATATAGTTTTTACTGTCTTTTATCTAACACAATTTTGTCACACTGTTCAATATCATTAAATAGTACTGTAATTACTAATTCGTTTCTGATGTCTCAGTTCACATAGGATCCGTCCAGAAATTCTTTGATAGTATTGATATTGATAAAACTTCAGTTTCAGTAGTATTTACTGCAATAATTATTTTATACTAATACTTTGCAGAATATAATTTTAAATGCAAACATAGGATCATCTTATACTAATACTTTTTTATCTTTAAAGCTGCAGTAATCAATACACACAAGAAATTATAACACAACTCTTAGGTCTACGGAGTGCCGTCTTTCAGCTCGTTGTTTTGGTTTTACAATAGCTTAGCTGTTTTTGTTCACTCTGAACTGCTTTAATCAACCTGAAGCAGCCAGCTGTTTTGAACAAAAAAGCTTTGATGAACTCACTGTATGCTACTTGTCCACCACTAAATGAAAAATAGTGAAAATAATCTAAAATTTTACAGCTAAAGAGCCTATTTTTTCCCTTGTTGTTGGTGGAGATGCGAGACAGACATTTAAGACAGTTAATATGTCTTAAATTCATTGTGTGTCCAGAAGCACAACTCAAAGTGAATGCTAACGTTGCTCTGTTTCTGCTCATTGTGTAAATGGTCAACTGTTTGCCAACATGTTCAACTTTATAAGATAGTACTCTGTCAGCGTTGTGTGTCAAAACAATGAATTAGTCCCGCTTTAAGTAAGGTTTTGAATGCAGGACATTTACTTGTAATGAAATATATAAATTGTGGAATTGCTTCTTTTAATTAATCAATCAGAATATTGTTTCAAACGCTGGGAACACACAGTTATGGTTAGCCAGATATTTGAGCCTGGATGTTCCAGCTAAAGGATTATTGCTATGCCACACAGCTGCATAACAGATACTGCCAGACAGGCTAAAAATCATATAAAAGTAAACAAAATTGCTTTTTAACTAAGGTAAACATTCTGGCAATCACTCTATTAGTCTATGTATCAAACTGTAGGGCAAGTTGAAGATTTATGGGCAGCCCAAGCTTTAGCTTCGTAAATAGAAATGGTAATAAATCAGTCCTTTCTGTAGAAATAGAGCAAGATTGTAAATAAACATGTGCTAAGTGTAGTGTTAATGCCGCCTCAAGGCTGCAGTGGCAATGGCAAAGCTATTACCTGACTTATTTTAACACTCTCCCGTGTCTCTCTTTTCCTTTCTATGTCTTCAGAGGCCAGGTTTATATCTGCTCATCCCATTGCTGACACCTACAATTCAGATGATGATAAGATATACTTTTTCTTCCGTGAGGTGTCGTGGGAAGGGAACGACAAGAGCATCATGTCCCGAGTGGCTCGTGTGTGCAAGGTGAGATATTACAACACGAGTGGTGTGGAAAGTGGGAGGTATATAGAGGCATGGTAAGGGAAGGTGAGGATATGACAGATGGGTGGACCAGTAGAGGAAGAGGAAAGGGGTTGCAAGAGTGAAAACCCTGACTAGGATGATTTTTTGTAGATGTGGAGACCCAGCTGGTAATGAGAGAAATGGTGCTTGGATGAAAGTTAAAGTAGGTGCAATGTAGTGGGACTAAGACCTCTTACAGAGTCTAAGATTCATAGCTCCTACAATCATCTGATCGGATAAGGATCTTTGTGTTGACCACTACAGTGGTGTTTTTTGTACCCAAGGAGCCTTTCTGATACATTATTCTTTTATAGTCATCTGAAAGAGACTGCCAGGACCACTAAATCATGATTTTAGCCCCTTTGTGCTCTGCTGACAGTGTATTCATAGTGTTGCTGCTTACATTGTCACTGGGGTCGATGTAGTTGAACGATCTTTGCGACATCTTATTGTCTCTGATCTGCCTCTGCACGTTAAAACAGTCTTCTCCTTCTCTGTCTGTTTTTAAATCCCTTCTTAAAACCCATCTTTTCTCCGTGGCTTTTGACACCTAGTAAGATGTCGACTTTATTTACTTGATTTAATTTCTTATTTTATTGCTTTTTATTGCGTGGCTATTATTTTTACTCAAGTTTTATGTCTTTTAATTTAGTGTTGTTATTTTATATGTAATTTTGCGCCCCATGTGAGCTGTTATGTCTTTTATTTATGATGTCTTATTTATTCTTCTGTACAGCACTCAACTTTGGTTGTTTCAAAGTGCTTAACAAATAAAGTTGGATTGGATTGGATTGTCTCTATTAATAAAGATAAAGCTGATAAATAAATATTAGAAGCATTCACATATCAGAGACATATTATGGCCTTGGAAAAGCTTTGCACGAAGGAGCATGTGTGGTACCATTACATTACATTAATTCCAATGCAACTTATAGTGAGAGCATTTGGCCTCGGCTGGATCAAAGGTCCAACTTCAAATTCATACCTAAACGGAAACATTTTGACAACACAAACTTTCTCTCTGATCAGATGCTGCAAGACATTTGAGAAGCATATCATGCCTCAGTGCCAATTTAGTTCTATTTTCTAACATGTCAAAACAGCTGGAAGCTTGAGTGGCACTGCACAGCTGACTGAGAACAGAATCAGAATAGATTCATGATTGGGGACCTTTTGTATAACATATAGTGTGCCATTAATCATTCCAAATGGGACTAGCCCACACAGCAGTTTCCTATTAGCATTCGGAGGTCTATTGCTACATTCTTAGAGAAAAGCTTTTAGTGTATTTATGACTTGGGAGTAAGCTGTAAGGCAGACTAGAAGGAGATTCCTCTGGATAACAGCTCTCTCCTTTTCTTTCTCTTTGAGCTATCTCTCTCTTTTGGTCTTTGTATTTTTCCTTCACTTTCATTATCTGTAAGTGTGTTTTTCCCTGCATGTGAAAGGAATAAGGGCACTTCAATCCTCTTTGAAGATTATCACCATTGTGAAACATCCTCATTAAGTGCTTACATTTTTTTTGTCGTCTCTTAACACAAGTGTGTTTTTGTGTTTTTGAACCATAACAGTCTTTTCTATACCACTTAGTTAGTGCTCTGGTCAACTTTAATAGGGAGGTTCTCTTAAGTTTTCTATGGATTACAAAGAGGTGCACTTGACTACTCTTACCATAGCTCAATCAAAGGTTGCTGCTTAAAACAGCAATTCATATGCTAAGATGAAACCTGCATTGTCAATCAGCAACCTCACTTGATTTCAGTGCTCTCTTTCAACACGCTGCACTTCCATTTGTTTCTCTTCTCCTTTGATGTTTTTCCATCTTCTCTCTCTTTTTTCCTGTCTCTCTTTCCTCTCCCTTTTCAATTACTCCCGACTGTCATTATGCTAACAAGAAGGACTCCTTTGTGCTGGTTAAATAAGCAGATCCATTCTAGAGGCATGTGTTTCACCTGTTTATTTTCCTAATTAGTGCAGGAAATCGGAGTTAGGCTGTGTGTTGTCTCAATGTGTAAGTCCATCAGATGGATTACAGTTGGACTGGTTATATACCAAGTGTGTGCTATTGATTGTGGTTGTCTTATGGCCGTGTTGGACAGCTGCACTATGCTGACTATGGTTTTGTTACATTGTATGTGGTTGCGTTTCAGAATGATGTGGGTGGGCTGAGGAGTCTCACCAATAAATGGACCACCTTCCTCAAAGCCAGGCTTGTGTGTTCCATCCCAGGACCAGACGGAGTGGACACACACTTTGATGAGCTTCGTAAGTAACTGTGAGAGTAAAAAGTGAAAATGTAGGCCAATAAACTGGGTTTTATCTTCCAGAAACTACCTTCAGAGTGCACTTTAGAAAGGGACCACATTTACAATTGCACCAGCAGTGGCACAGTAGCCAGACAAATTAGACTGCAATTGCTGCTTCATATAAATAAGATGGAGATGCAACAAAATCTATTATGTGAATAGGTAATAAAAACAAATGACCTTTATGTTGCTTCCCCTCTTTCTTATAGAGGACATCTTTCTCCTCCCTACAAGAGATGACAAAAATCCCATAGTGTATGCAGTTTTCACCACCTCCAGGTAAGTTCAGTATTCATCACACCATCATCAACACCACCTGCACTCTCCTTTTCTTCCCTAGCCTTAACCTGGTCTCTTGTTTCCACTTTCGTCTCAGCTCCATTTTCCGTGGCTCAGCAGTGTGTGTGTACAGCATGGCAGACATAAGAGCTGTGTTTAACGGACCTTACGCCCACAAGGAGGGGCCCAGCCACCGATGGGTAGAATACGAGGGGAAGATACCGTATCCCCGCCCTGGAACGGTGTGTTACCGTAGCAGACAGCTCAAACTTGATCACTCCTAGCTAATGATAATTTTCTTTTCACAAATTAGACGAATAAAATCTTCAACTTTCTTGCTAATTACAAAATAATAAACATGGCCTAATTTGAGTATGCCTTGGCGAGGGTAAAATGTTTAAGATGCTGTAGGGTATACATGCTCACATCTGCACATGCAACCTCATGATGTGTGATGTAATCTTGGGTTTGATGAGGCCACCCGACATGTTAATCAGATAGTTGTTTCATTTTGTTTAAAAAAATGTAATCAAGCGAGGGAAAGGGATTAGAATTTGGTGTATGGTTCAGGTGTACAGCTGAGTGAGCAGTGTGTTTGACCTGTAGTATACACAGAAAGTGTGTGGGGGGGGGTCATCTATTCCAGATGTGCTTTATTTCCTACTGTTCTTCATTTGACCACCAGAGGGAGGCATTCACCTGTACATTGTTAGACAGAAACCATTGGTCAATTAGCTGAAAAGAAATATAAGAAAAATAGTCACTGAACACATTTAGTGAGTGAAATCATCTAGAAATTGTATTGAAAAATTGAAAAAACTTTTGCACAAAATCAACATTTTTTATTCCGTCCTAGTGTCCCAGCAAGACATATGATGCAAGGATCAAGACAACCAAAGACTTCCCAGATGATGTGGTCAGCTTCATTCGATTCCACCCTCTTATGTATCGCTCTGTCTACCCTCTGACCGGCCGACCCGTGTTCACACGTGTCCGAGTGGACTACACCCTGACTCAGATTGTGGTGGACAGAGTTTTGGCAGAGGACGGACAATATGAGGTCATGTTCCTGGGAACAGGTGAGAGACACAATTAAAGTTGTTGGTTGAAATTCCATATTTGACCAGCAGGGGACACTATATCACCATGAGTTGCCCTTAGCCTTAAACCGATTTTGCTGATGCTGTTATGGTCTTGCTGTTGGAGAAATTTAGAAATGTATGGTTGCTCTTAGATCCAATGTCCTGTCTTAGGTCTCAACACTGAACATTTTAATATATAAAACTATTCTATAATAATTCTTGGTCCACATTGTTGACCTGTGTGTATGGTTAGAGGTACTAATTTTCACTGGATATGAAAACATTAGTTCTCATACTTGGCTAGTTTACATTATTCAACTCTTAATGAAAAATGCATGCTGTGTGGTTTGCTTCATTTATGCCAATCGCCCCTCCTCCTTCCTGCCTCGTAGATGCTGGTTCAATTCTGAAGGTGGTGAGCATCACTCAAAATAATTGGTCAACTGAAGAAGTGGTGCTTGAAGAGCTTCAAGTTTTCCAGGTTTATATGCACCACACAGCTACACACAAAAATACAGAAACACAAACACACAAGTAGCTCTTTGATAGACGATGCCAGCTGTTTTCCAGCCATCCTCTTTGGGACAGTTGACTCATCAAACTGTGAAATATTCATCATGCCTCTGTTATAGTCTGCAATGCTGATGGATTTTTCTGAACTATTAATCAACAAACAACAAAAGACTGTTGTCTTTACTGTAACACTGTTCCAGCAGTGTTTTAATTCCTGAGGTTTTAAAAATGGTGAAGTTTGTTTGTTTCACTTTTTGCAGGTTCCCACTCCCATCCTCAGTATGGAGATGTCTTCAAAACAGGTTCAGCTTCATTCTCATCCATTTTATTTCCGCACTCTTCCCTCATTATTTCTGCATATCTTTTCTGCTCTCTACCTTCATTAATGCCGCATGCATTCAGTGGAGTGTATATCCCTGATGTGGCACAAAACTTCAATTTAATTATTATTATTAAATTTTCCCCTCTCTCTCTTTAGCCTTCCCCATTTTCTTGTGTCTCTCTCTCCCCCGTCTGCCTCATTATCGCAGGGTCAGGGGTGTCAGTAGACACTTCAACCCCAATCACAGCTTCCATTAATCTCCAGCAGTGTTTGACCTCTGTGTGTATGTATGTGCACTGGTGTTTCCAGTGGTTGTTTTGGAGTTATGTTTAGGAATCCCTTTAACTTCAGGCGAGTCAGAGCAGATCCTTTGAGTCATATTTGTAAAAATTTCTTACACCGAAAAATCCCTAAATCTTTGTGGTTCTTATTTCAAGTGCCTGTTAAATGTTTTGATATTTTAAATAAGTCTTATTGTTATAACACCTTGACCACCAGTTATTCTTGAGCTTAATCCACAGAAAAAACCCTGAGAGAATGTTGATGGATTAGCCTAGATGGAAGAGTATGTGTAAGGCATGTCAATGACACAACAAATATTAATTTCCTTTAAAAAAAAAAAAAATCACTCAGTGTAGAGTTTAATGGATCACTTCTGTTGTTGGACTTAATAAATGTATATATTTTGTGCACCTCTAACCAAATGAATTTCCTGTATGGATAATAAACTTGAACTTGAAATGGATCTGTATGTTTACCTCCACTAAAGCAGAGCGTGGTGTGTGTTTCACTATAGCAACAGCTCTACGTGGGTTCAAATGAAGGGCTAGCCCAGGTTTCACTCAGTAGATGTCACCTGTATGGCCAAGCCTGTGCTGATTGCTGCCTGGCACGAGACCCCTACTGCGCCTGGGATGGACACACATGCTCACGATACATCCCTGCATCCAAGAGGTATGCTAGAGTCTTTAAAGTTCACGTTGGTTAGTTGTAGTCATTATGTTGCATTACCAAGCATAAGAAAATACCTCTTTAATTGTTTTTGTTTAAAGCTTATAGACGCATTCATTAATGATAGGGCAGGTAACTTTTACTCAAATGAAATTATACACAACACTGCCATTTTCAACAGGACCACACTCCAACATACAGATGAATAAATGCCAAAAATAAAAAAAAACTATTAATCATTAAATTAGAAAATATTTAGTTCCTTTGACACTATGTTGCCCTACTTCCACGTGTTATGTGTGTATGCGTTCTGTATTCTGGGACTGTCAGGCAAAGTTCATAGTTCTTGCTAAATATGTTTTCTCTTCACCTTTTCAGCAGTTTTCCTCACCAGAGGGTATTAGTCCATTTGAAGCATTGATTAGAGATGTGGTTCTCCAGCTGATTAATGCTACTGTCATTCCACACCTCTAGAGTGTAGTCCTCGAGGTGCAAAAGCATGTGTGTACGTACTGTATGTGTGTCTGTGTTTTTTTCTTTTTTGTGTGCTTGCACAAATTGAGGCTCTACAGAACCTATACCCTACAGTTAGAGGTCACTGCCAGATTATTGGCCAGTGGGGATGCTGTTATGGTTTTTCGAATAGTGAAGGCCCTGTTTTTGGTCTCAAGGGCTCTTTGAAAGCTGATCTTCACAGTGTCAGTGAGTGTAGGCTACAGATGTCCCATCACACAGGACTGACAGGAGGTGGAGGAGGTGAAATCAATACAGACTGAAGGAGCCCGAGTGAGCAACACCCAGCTAGAGGCTAAAGAAACTGGATTTTTTTGTTTAATCATTTCCACTATAACATTTATGTAGGAAAACAAATGTCTGCAAGTGAGGTAGAAATTTAATTTTACTTTTACTCCAGTGTCCCTTGTTGCACTTTTTAGAAAAAACTAACATTTTGCTTACTACACTTTAGGAAAATGGCACATGATTGTAGATCAAAGACAGAAAGAAGTTTTCTAGTGCATTTAGGTTTTTACATGTGTCAACCAGAGTAAGATACAGAGGGTTACCAGTAATCACAGGTCATCTTAAATCACATTTCAAGTGGTTGTGAAAAATTGTTGCTGGAGGTAACAGTCAGGCAACTTCTTCACATTTCACCACATAATTCCTATATCCAATGTATGCCAATTTGAAAATACTATATATATATATAATAATATATTTTGTAGGAGACAGTACAGTTGTTGTCACTGCCCTGTATGTATTTTTTCACTAGTAAGGGTTAATCACATTAATATGGTTTAATATTTTCACATTTTCTATAAATCATTTTATGTAAGCTTTATAATTATTTTTTTTAAATTTGTGTGAGATACAAAATTCAACAGTCAGTTGGAAGACAGGAAGACATATTCAGATCCTTTACTTAAGTAAAAGTAGCAACACCACTGTTATGTCACCGTTTGAGGAAAACAGACGAGAACCTGAATCCCTGACAACCTGACAACCAAAGTAAGTGTAGATTTCTGTAAAGCTGACTGATACTCCCAAACATAACACTAAAAGGTCCCCAGAATGTGGGGAGAATGGAAACAAGCAAACAAAAACAAGGCAATACATAATTTGCCTACCAAAAAAAACAAAACAAAAAAAAAAACAGACTACCAGCAGAACAAAATCAGAAAGGGAACTCTTAAGGTGTACTCCTTTTATTGAGGGCCCGGAATGATGATTAGCCAGTCCGTGGGAGCCTTTACCAGACTGCACAGGTGGAAACAAATCATGCTGTTAGCACCTGGAGAGAAAACAGGGGAGGGGGAGACAAATAAAAGCTGGAAGAAAACACCCAAACATAACAAGCCTTGTCTGGCAAATAACAACCCCACTGTGAAAATACTCCACCATGAGTAAAAGTCCTATTTTTTAATTCTAAACTTGGCTTAAATAAAAGTATGTAAGTATCAGTAAAATATAATAAAAGTATTGAAAGTACTAAAAATATAAATGTAAAATGGTCCCTGTTGGTGTTTTACTGTTATATATGATATAACTATATATGTTACGCTAATGTTACTGCTGCATTATTATGTATCTTGCATTTTACTGCTGTAGATGATTAGATGATTATGCTAATTTGAAATACTTTATATCATGTTGGGTAGTTAAATCTGTAGCAGTATATCATATTTTATAGGATCATCATACATTTGTTGCATTGAACCACTAATCTCTAAAAAGTAAACTTTTCATGAAATCTTTTCAGTTTGGAGTCAAAGCAACTAATCCAAGAGGGTTTTTAAATATTCAGCTTAAGAAGTAGGATAATTTTCTCAAACCATACAGGGACACTTAATCCTTCAGTTTATCAGAAACATTCAAATCAACAATTTTGGAGATACATGGTTTTTGCTGAACAGGAGAAATATTGTTATATTCCACCACTGCTGTATTGTACGAGACATACACTATATGAGCTCATAAATATGTGTCTGGCTTGTAAATAAAAAACAAAATATATATATAAAAAACTCTCTCTTTGTTCTTCAGACGAGCCAGAAGACAGGACATAAAGCATGGAGACCCTGCCAGTCAGTGTTGGGACACAGAAGACAGTACGTACACTTTGTTCTCTTTAGATGTGCAGCCTGTATCTGTCTTTGTAAGAAAGTCTGTTTTTTTTCTTTGCTAGGTTTAAACACACATCCAGTGAACAGATAAATGAACCACTTAACGAGTCACTAGAGGGAACCCGCTGCTATATATTTTTGAGAACCAGAGAAAAGATTGTTGGATCAATAACAGTCGTGTTTTCTTTAGGTCTTCTTAGGGGACTGGTGGAGGAGAGGGTCCTCTTTGGGGTGCAGAGCAACTCCACCTTCCTTGAGTGTATCCCCAAATCTCAACAGGCCCAGATCCGGTGGTACATACAAAGACCTGGATCTGAACGCAGGGAGGAGGTCAGAGAGTGCCCTCATTTACACACTTGTACACACACAAACCATCCCCAAAATACATTTTCTCACACACTCCTTTCCTGCTTTCTATTTCGTTCTCCACACTCTGAAGTCTGAAGGTGGACTTGAGTTTACTGTACCTGAGGGGTTAAATTTTTTTCATGCCAGGTCCCGAGGCAAAGAAGTTACACGGCCAAAGAACATTCATTTCTTACATAAGTACTTCAAAGCATCCAAAAACGTCATACTTGACTTCAACCTCATCGGCTATTAGGTCTGAGCGTTGAACCCATCAGCAACTGTTCGTGCCATAAATCACATTGTTGCAGGTTCTTCTCATCTGGGGAACATAAAAACAATGCCCAAGTTGACTACCAAAAAGTCATATCTGCTATGGAATTATAGGTAATAAGGGAGCAATCCAGGGTCTCAGGATTTCTGTGACAAAGGTCATTTTTGATGTTTATGAGTGAGGGCTTTGTCAAACTTTGTGCAGCTCCTCTGTTTTTAAGGAATGTGAGGAATGACTTCAACCAGACCCACCCGAGGGGATGGGGATGGGATATTATCTATCACACATGAAAAATGGGAATTGCATTTTACCCGGCATTTAACCTTTTTGGGGAGGGATTTTTTTGCTTTTCCCTGTGCGTTAATTCAAGAGAGACTACAGCAAAATGGAGAGGTGGAACAGCAAACCATTACTTTACAGAACGAGTAGTTGGTGATAGAGTGCAGAAAAGGGCATATTGAAAGCTGAATTTTCAGCAATTTTAAGAAATTAAACCAAATTTCATATCTAGTGTTTACTTACAAAACAGTTCATTTTTGCTATTTGTCACTGCATAGGACCAAAGTCATTTTAAAACACAGATACAGAGACAGAGAAGGATATACAGGGACAGAGAGATAATGTGTATTTGAGGTGTTGAAAGGAACTCATTGATGATGACACCCGTCTCCTGAATGAGACAACAGAGACCTACTGCTTACTCAGCACCTCAGTGCCCTCCCCTCCCCTATGAAAACATACAATCCTTCCTTCACCCATTGCGAGTGACCTGCTTACCACTCAACCCAGTCACTCTTCTTCTCTCTCCCCACTTCCCACTGCACTTATTTACTCCCATAACCCGGCCCCCTGTCCTCTCTCTCGGGGTTGAATGTAAACATGCTGACAGGTGCAGAGGTCAGTTAAGACCCATGTGGTCCTTTATAGCCCTGCGCAGCACAAAGCCATGCGTTTCGTCTGTGTGTGCTTATATGTGCGTGTTCCTTTATGATTCCCTACAGCAGAAATCATAACAGAGCGCTCCCTGGGGACAGCCATGTGTTTTGGGGTAATAAACACAATGGGGTGTTTTCTGTGTTTGTGTGTCTAGACATGCAATGATATGTGACCTATTGTACTCTAGACAAAGTGATGAAGGAGTGAATGCAGGAGTTCTTCCTCCCCCGGGATTGTTATGTGATGGACACAGAAGCTAAACAAATAAAGCATAATATGCAGAATAAGGTTGATCAACAACCAGTTGAGTGGTGTTTATAATGGCAAATGTTTGGAGTATGTACATACACTTTTGTAGGTGACTGAAATGTTATCTCACTGTCTTCTCTGCCAATGAAAAGGTAGAACAAGCCACCTGGATTATTAAATAATAATTCATATTTATACATTTTCAGCTATCATGATACAACTTGCTGCTTTAGTGTTGGAAGAATGTCCTGATAAAGAAACCAGATGGTTCATTATGATTCAAACAGTTTTAGGGAAAAAGAAGAAATATTTAAATGGGCAAACACAGCTTTATAGTACAACAGCCATTGCATAAATAAATAAGTGAATGTAATTCTTTAACAAGGCAGCCAGTGAACAACTCAAATGCTTGGAGACATAAAATACCCAAGACAAAAGGAAACTGCAGCACAAATGCTTGGATTTTCAAATAATTACACATGGCTGAAAGATTAATTGTTTCTGCTAATTGGTTATAAAATAACATTTAACATGTCAGACTACAAACATGGCTTTCAAACAGTTTAGGAAAAATAGGAAATAATTTGAGAGAAACATTTTCTTAATTCTGGGTAAACTGTGAAACTAATGCTTGAATTAATTCTGTTTAGCTTCTTTCTCATGTGTGTTAATATTTATCATTAAGCACATGATTGACTGTTTTCTTAGCTGAACCCAAGGTATTCTGCTGATAGTCAACACAAAGTAAAGGAGTTCAAGTGAACCCAAGTAAAATGGAGGCCAAAGGAACACAAGAGATTAGTTATGGCATGTTTTTTGGAGTGTCTTTGTCTGAGCTGTGTTACTTGGAAGATATTTAATTAGCTGTCTTGTAATGATTGTTGATACTATTTGGCTTTTTTCTTTTCCATGACATCATAATCACTGTTGCTTTTGTTCTTTTCAGTAAAAGTCATTGTCGTCTCTCTTTGTCACTACCACCCATCGCCAATGTTGCCTTTACAGGCTGCTGTGTCTAAAGTACCAAGAAAATTGCAGACTGATTACCTGTAGTTCACAATTTTACTGGCTAACATATAAAAATTAAAGATGCAAGAGATGATCATTATTAACAAAGAAAATTCTGGTTTTAAGATTCATTCATTACGCAGCCCTAAATGACCCTTACAGCACAGATACAGGAGTCAAAAACAAGCTGTCTATTTATTTAAAGTGTTCCGTCTTGGTAGCTGGGTTAGGTGACATAGGGGATCGCTCTTTGTGGGACAAGGTGGTCTACCTGCTCTCACAGCTGGACATGTGGTGTTGGAGCAGGTGATGTCTGATGTGTCCGGCTTGATTCAACTTCTCACACTCCCTGTGCTTTTCTTCCCCCTCGGTTTCCTTTTGTCTGTCATCCCTTTTCCTCTCCTGTCCCTCAACCTCCCTCATCCCATCTTAATCTCTCCTCACTTAATCTCTGCCTTCATGCTTTTTACTCCGTCTACTTCGTTTCCTCATAGTTTTATTGCTGTCTCTGCAATTTCCCACAGTCTCTTCTCTTCTGCGTTTCTCTCCACTCTTTCTGCCTCCCGATGGGTTTTGATAAAGGCACCCTCGACCAGCTGCTCCAGCACCTGCAGAACCACACCGATACTTATTCTTATCATACACACCAACTCACACACTCCCTCCTCTTATACCCTCGTAAAGGTCAGCTATTAAACATGTGAGCTGGAAGAGATTTCTCTTGTTTTTCACAGCATGTTTATGTGTGTGTGTGTGTGTGTGTGTGTGTGCGTGTATGCGTGTGTGTGTGTGTTCACTCACCTCCTAGAGCCTGGAATGCTGGCCCATTAGAAAATTTGTAATAAGAAAAGCATGGATGACGCTGAATTTCATCCACAGTGTTCATTAAAACAAAGCACAGCCTTTCTGAAATCTTGGGAAGTTCTTAACCTGTTGCTTAAGCTTTGAAAGTACTTACCCACACTATTAAAAGCTGTGTTTCATTGGGTTGCACTGCATGCATGCATGCACACTTGTTTACACATACACATATGCATGTTACTGTCCCTAAATACACAGAACTCCAATATAATACACATATACATATTCGCATGCCTAGATACACAAAGACACAGGTACACAAATAAAGACGGACCATCTGGGTGAGTTTAAATGTCTGGCATTGCCGTTTAGTCACAGATGCCTTGATTTTGGATGGCAGTGGGGGGGCGGCTTCAAAGGCACATAAATAAACACATAAATACTGATTGAATGATTTTCAGAAACTGTCCAATGTCTCTGCAGAGACCTTGCACTTGATTTTGTGTTTTTAATATATATCCCATGTGTTTTGTCAGGTCAGTTAGGTGTTTCAGGAAACGAGAATGTGATAGGAGACAGATTAGTAAGTCAAATGTGGGTAAGGGTCAAGGTCCAAAGAGCCTCTGAGGCCTGTAGGTCTGCCTTTAGCTGGACAACACATCATCAGTGTCAAACCTAGAAACCACCACAGAACTTTATAGACACACATGTGTAAAGGCACACACACTCACACTCGCACATAGTGCTCAGTTTTACAGCAATAAAAATGTATTATTATTATGTCAATGTCCATATTAATAGCAATATTTAATAATGTTTTATAATTTTCACTTAATATATAATTGTATTAATTGACTTGTCAGTTTCAGTTTAAAACTCAAACACATGCAGTTCACCCAAGTAGGCAAACAGTTAACTAAAAATTTAAAGTTAAAAAGTTAAAACTATTTCCATGCCTAAAGAGGAATAATTCATGCAAGAGCTGGTTAGGTTTCTTATCAGTTACACCTCTGGGGGGTCGGAGCAGAGCTGTGGGAGGTATGCTTTTGAAGCATTCACACATGCAGGGACACACGCTGGACACACATGCTCATGCTCTGTCTCTGTCCTCTGAACACAGCTGTGTTGTTTTAGGACCTGACAGCAGCCATGCCACCTGATGAATCATGGTGGATGCAAAATGAAAGGAGCGGACCATAAACATAGCACTTACCCTTACGCCTTAGTGACAAGCACACACACACACAGAGGCAAATACCTTCTTTTGCTTTTGCTTACTGCTGACACTTATTGTGCATCTGACGATCTCTCCACACCGCATAATGACCCCTGCCCCCCCACACTGTGGGTGATACTCACCACACCCAATTCAATATGTTTCCTGCTTCAGGGGTCATTACCATGTTCAATGCACCTTGGATACAAATCAGGCGTGAAAATGTATGTGTGTAAACAGGGTGGCAAGCTAGTGTCATTCTGATTGATTGTTTAAGGGCAGAAAGACACTTAATTTCTTGCTGTTTTGTTGCAAAGCTTTTGAATCTTGAATATATATATATATATGAGCAATTTAAGAAAGGACTATTTCATGTTATATTGTGTTGTATTGTGTACTAGCTGTTTAGCCTAAGTGAGGGCAGCTGTAGCTACATCACCTTGTCCATTGTGATGATGAAGTTCTTATATGTTTCTTTTTGTCTCCCAGGTTAGGCTGGATGATCGTGTTATACACACAGATCGAGGTCTCTTGATTCGCTCCCTCCACGCCTCTGATGCTGGTGTGTATGTCTGCGTGGCTCAAGAGCACACACACTTCACCCACACTCTCCTCCGGCTCACGCTTCAACTTGTTACACATGGACAACTGGATGGAAAGCCTAAACCCAGTGAGGATCCTGTCATGGAGCTACGTCACGGTGCTGAGTCCCGCCAGCGTTATAAAGACTACCTGAGAGTGATGAGCTCTCCCTATGGCTCTCTTGAGGAGTACTGTGATTCATTATGGCAAGAGAAGAGGCCTTCAAGGGTGCGAGGACGTGGCTTAGGAGCTGGCAAATGGAAACATATCCAGGAAATGAAAAAGAGCAGGAACAGGAGACATCACAGAGAGAGGGTAGAAGAGTGGGGAAAACAAGAGAGGTGGTGAGGACAGAGAAGCAGTGAGGGATGTGATAAAAAACAAAAACATTCAGGGTTAGCTGTTTATTTTCACCAGGCATGACACAGAACTGCAAAATTGCAATGACAGATCAATTCACGGACAAGCAAAATCTAACTCAGAGCTAATGGGGCATGAAAGGCTGAAATATACAGTTCAGGAGTTCAAAATAGAAAGTCAACAAGTAATGTAGTTTTGGTTTGTGAATATGTAATTTCTTCCAGCTACAGTTCTGCTTGCAAATGTATGTTTCAGTGAAAACATCGGAGACTAAATAACAATGATTTTTGCGTAATTTTTTTGTGTAAAACATTGCATAGTCGTCCAATTACTTCTGTTTCAGCTACAGTGCTACTGGAGATGAGCTGACCGGATGAACGATTGCACATTGCAACTGAAGTGTCTTTTCTACAGCTTTCAAAGTTTTTTTCCCCAGCAGAACAGAATGATGGTTAACAGAGTTTATTTGATGGTATTGAAACATATGGTTGAATTGGTGAGATTGGGAAGAAACTTGTGGTGATGACAATGCATTAATGTTGAATGACTGTAAATATTTATATAACATGTACAGGAGATGCAGCATGCTCACTGTAGTCTTATTACTGATCTGTATGCCTATAATGCTAATCATTTATAATGTTTGAGCTGACAAAATGACATATTTTTGTACAAATGTTTCACTCCTATGTACTGTAGGTTAAATAGATGTTTTCTTCATTGCTGTTTTTGAAGGGTATTTAAATAAATTTGTCTTGGATCCTCTGTCCCCTAAAAATGCTTACTTACATTCTGGGAAGAGATAAAATCAATATACAGGAAATCTTTTACTGTAAAAGTGCACTTCCAGGCACTCTCAAGCAAAAAGCAGACAGGTTGAGAATGGGTTAGGGTTAGTTCAGCTGAGCATCTCCTGATATAGCAACACAAATCCCTGTGCACTGTATGCAGATGTCAGAATGATTCAGGAGCAGCTGGTCTCTTGTTTAGTGTTTGTGTATATGTGTGTGTGTGTTTGTGTGTGAAGGAGAGAAAGTGGGTGCCTTCAGAAGAAACCATGCAAAATATGAAAGTTTGTGATCAAACTGAGCAAGTTACATAAGTGGTATGAGTATAAAAAGCAATCCAATGTGTCTGACCTAAATAGTATTGTAAGACTTAAATAATAATGTAGATAACATCACACGCTTAGATATAATGCTGACAACGTGAAAGGGGTCTTTCTGTAAAAGACATTATCAGAGTTATGGGAGTCCTCCTTTGACTGATTTAGTGGTATCCTCTGATGTAAAATTTAGGGGGAGCTCTTGAAATACTGCAGGTATCACAGGGTACAAATATGTCCCATACTAATATAAAGATATTGAAAAACATTATATTCCTCAACAGCCTTGTAATTAATTTACTAAACTCAACCATTACACAACTATTACAGCCTTAACTTTGACTAAAACCTCCATGCCTCGTGTTTCATTACATGTACTTGCCGCATATATACATACCTACATATGAACAGCATTCAAGTCTGCCATTTTGTGTTTCTCCAAAGTGATTTCTCTATTTTTTTGTAACAAAGACAATAAATATTTCAAGCACTTCCTCCTCATCTATAGTTTATTTATCAGTCAGCTACAAAGAACAAACTACATCTCCCCAAAAAGGGAAACAGTGAAGGGACACCAGAAAAGCACTATAACAGGCTTTAAGACAGTATTACTCTAGAAATCTAAAACAAATATTAAACCAACGTTTGTATCACAATACAATTTCTCTGAGAAGCATAGCAGCAAATGTAATTTATAGAAAAAAAATACTTTTGAGTCATCAAAATCAGTGCTGCCTATTGAATGTTTACTCATTCTTCTGGATGTGCACACCCCGTTAGAGCACAATTTTGCAATGTAAAGGTTGTACAATAGTATCAACAACCAGTCAGTGACATGACAAGATGATTACAAAATCATTTTTCCACCAGGTTATTTTTCCAGGTATCTCTTATTTACATGTATGCTTTGACATAACTGTCCTTTTCCACATAAAAGGTTCTTTGAGAGATGTTATGTTTGCTCACGAGGAGCTCTTCACAATGGCTTAGTTGTGTGTCAGCACACTACTGTGCACAGTTAAGTTGACCTTCACATTTGGCTGGAGAAGAATCAATGAGTGAAGATGACTTGCTGCGATAGACAGGCAGACAGAGGCAGTGGGGGGTCAGACAAGGAAGCAGAATTCAGGGAAAGAAACCAGATTCTATGGAAGGAAGTGCTTAATTTGATGTGATTGGTGTAATGAGCAAGCAAGTCAGCTTAGCACCCCTGTAGTGGCCTTACAGGATACTTGTAGAGACAAAGGCACATGCAGACAGTATACTCTTTTTCTATTGTCTGCATTTTAAGTGGTCACATCAAGATACAGTGCATGGGTATGGGTCTTGCCAGTAGTTG